ATATATACAACTAAAAATAAAAAATATATGTAAATATAGGTAAGTCATTAAAACTAATTTCAAAAAAAGTGTTTGAGCAGCGATGTGCAAACATTGTGTGTCTGTTTGCGTTTATATAGCATAAAAACTGGTTTTTACACATTTGTTTTAGTTTTCGTATTTATTATTTTTTTTACTATTTTAAACATTTTGTAATTTTAGTTAACAAACTTAAAAGTTTAAGGGCCGAAACATAACAATTTTGAAAAAATAACGAAAATCTAAAGAAAAAATCCAATTTAATAAATAATAAACAAATTATGTTGTGGTTTATGTTTTTCTTTTGAAAATATCACAAATACTAAATTTATTTCTATTTTTTTTTATAGAATTTAAAACCAAACATGTAATTTTGAGTATCACAAAATGTTCAAAAATAACTTTGTTTTATTTTCATCTCCATTCATTTGTGAATCATTTAATTTGTAATTCAGTATTTTAGTTTTTTTTTTCTTTATAAAATAACAAATGTTGTGTTTAAATCAAACCTTAAATCGAACAGAAAATAGGAAACCTTATAAAGCGAGTACGCCATTACATGAGGAAATTGAAATTGAGACACAATTATCAAAAAAAAAAACAGGATTTCTAAAAAATTACAGGTTACATTAAAAATAGTTTTACTCAAAGCAAAATGGCAGTTTGAGAAGGCGTTAAATGCTAATAAAAACGAGGTGCTAGCGGGGTTGATTTGTTATTACAGATAAAAGAAGGAAACCGAGACAATTGGAGTTTTTTTTTACAGATTTGTATATCAGAATGTCTTATTTTATTTCTACCGATACATTTTCTTTACGGGTGCCTCGCAGAGTTTTTAACTTCGCCGTGGCATTTCATGAAAATTACTGCTCCTGAAGACATTTCTAACAAAACCGCTAAGAATACAGGATGACATGAAAAAAAAAACTGCAACCAACTTCAGACTGCTGTCGTTTCAAAGCCACTCTTTCGACAGCTTTTCAAATTATTCCAGTGACAGCTCATTATATTGTTTATATGCGTACAAAAGCATTTTGGTGAGAATTTTCCAGAAAAAAAGTTATTGGAAAACCACAAGTGGCTATAGCTCTAGCACTCCAGCATTTAAATCATCATCAGCAGCAATGATTAGAAAAGTAAAGAAGCGACTTGATCGAAACCCGAGTCGAAGTGGCCGAAAAATGGCTCGTTAGCTGAACATCTCGCAATACTCCATTCGGCAAATATTGAAAAATGAGCTCGGGGTAAAGCCATTGAAATTCCAAAAAGTGCAAGAACTTACACGACAAAAGAAAGAAAATAGACTCAAAAGAGCTAAAGAGTTGCTTCGCTTGGCCGAAAGTTGTAAACTGCCGAATTTGGTTTTTCCGATGAGAAAACATTCGTTGTCCAGCAGTTTGTAAACAAACAAAATGATCGTGTTTACTTGCCAAAGAGATCAGCAGAAAATGTGCACCTTCGGTTGGCCGCCAGAATTCAAGCGCCGGCCATGGCGATGGTGTGGGCCGCCATAACAGCCAATGGTCGTTCTCCGCTCGTATTAATTGACCGTGGCATAAGTATAAATGGCGAGTATTATCGCGAAAATATTCTGGAGGATGTATTAGGCACGCAAACATTTTGGCCGCAGACCTTGGACATTCCAACAGGACTCAGCACCATCGCAAAATGAGGTTCCTCGCTTCATTTCCAGCGCACAATCTCCGGATACCAATCCGTTGGACTATTGTGTCTGGAGTATTTTGGAAAGCAATACCAAAGTCTCGATCACCTCAAGCAAGCGCTTCACCAGGAATGGGCCAAAATACCGCAGATCGCATTGGGGAAGCGTGTGACGGTTTCATTGGCCGTTTGAAGGCCATAATTCGTACCAAAGGTGACCAATTCGAAGAAATCTAAACTTATTCTAAAATTTGATGTTATTTCCGACATTTTTTGCTTTCATACAATAAAATTAAGGAAAAAAATATAAAAATTATAGCGTTTGATTTGTTGCAGTTCTTTTTTATCTCACCCTGTATTAGAATAATGTCTTCTTTTATTTCACGGGTGCCTCACAATGTTCTCGAAGACATTTCTAACGAAACCGTTAACGATTTTTTTACTTTAAGAATATATTTAATTCATTTAATTTAGACCAAAGAAATGTGTAATTTGCCAATTTGCTTTCGTTTTTTTGAGGTGTAATAATCGGTTTTTGTTACAATTGATTTGAAAATTATTTCGAGATTTCCCAGCAGGAAATAGACTTTGGGGAAATTGTTAGATTTTTTGAAATTACTTAATATGACACGATAGCGGATCAATAGCCAACGGGTATCCAAACTGAAATATCCTCTATTGCTTAGTAAATATGTAATTATTACATTTGCAATTATACAGAGTATTCAAATAAATCTGTGTCTTAATTTCAACTTTCATAAAAAGGGAAAGATTTTATTTTTTTGAATTTAGAGGCGAAAAGAAAAGTTACGAGATCTGCCATCGTGTCATATAAAGAATTCGAAATAATTTGATTGCTGAATACAAAAAAAAAAGGAAATAGTTAAACTTAACAGTAAATAAAATACATTTCAATAATATACAAATGTATTGTTTTTGTTTAGTTTTGTTTTTTTTCTTCATTTCATTTTTTTTCTTAATAAATTCAAACTAAAACTAATGTTGTTGTTGTTTTTTGTATTATTTTTAAATTAATAGTAAAACATTAAAACTGAAATGCATTTGAGGTATATTGATATTTGTTTGTAGTTGAATTGGTATAATTCTTTAAACTTTAAGTTAACACAAAGAACAAAACTTAACAATGTAAACATGGTTTGCGTTTTCTTATTTTGTTTTCGTTTTTAGTTTTTTTCTTTCCATTTCAATCGTTGACATTGAACAAAAAAATAATATAAGCTACAAAATAAAAATAAAAATTGTAAAACAAAGTATCTAAAACTTAACAAACAATGCTAAAATAATTCTATTACAAGGAGGTAACAAAGAAACCATTCATTTTTTCGTCGTCTTCTGCTTCTGCTTCGTCTTCGACTTTGTCAGCTAGATTTGCAACTTGGTCAACCATTTTTGTTATTTTCTTAATTTTAAATAGTTTATATAGAAGTATCATTGTGGAGAGACACACGCATACACACACACGTCCAGCGTAAGTCATATTTCAAATGTCATTCATTCACATCAAAGCTGGCCGCATTTCTTCTCGAAAACACAGAAAGGGGGCAGCATGATAATGCAGTAAAATGGAGTGGGAGCGTTTGCGTGTGTGTGTCCAGAATAATTCAGATGTAGTGTTAGTTGTTATTTGTAGGTTTTGGTTTCCTTATGATGTATTTATGTATGTATGTATATTTGTTTTGGTTTTATTTTAGTCATTTTATGAGTTTTGTATCATTGTTGTTTTGTTTTGTTATTATTTTGTTTGCCTTTAAATTTTTAAGATTTTTATTTTTTTTGTTTTAATTTTTTTGACAAGAAACCGTACATATAGCCATACGAATATATTTTATATATGGGGGTTAATTTTTCGATTTTATTAGATTTGAAACCTTCCAATTTGTATAGATTCCCTTGGCATGAACATAAAGACAAGACAATTACAAAGATTTAGAAGCAGCGTTTTGTTTCATTTGTTGTTGTTTTTTGTTTTTCAATTGGTATTTATGAAAATATATGTCTATATATTTGTTGGCTGGCATTTATGCATGTCAAGTGAGTGAGAGAGGGCGTGTGTGTGTTTGTTTGATTGTATATTTTTACAGATTTTTTTTCTATTTAATTTAAGTATTAAACTATTTATTTGTTTGTCTGTATTTACTTTGGAATTTGCTGTATTATTGTGGTATGTAGAGGACTTTGTGACCCCCCTCTGTCCGGGGCTTAAGCTGGAAATTAAGATATCATTTTAGGATTTTGAAGAAAAGAAAAAAAAATGGAATAAAGGAAACAATTAAATATCTCCAAAATATTTCATTTAAGCTTGTCGAGTGATCCTTGGAGCTTCTTTTTCACTTAGATTTGGAGTAATAAAATTTGTTGACATAAAAATTGGAAAATTTGATATCTAGGAAAAAGGAGTGTAAAATTCTAAACATTTGGATTCGATTTTTTAAACTTGGCAGAAACGTTATTCAATTGAAAAATATAGCGGTGTTCCAACAAATGTTTATCAACAAATTTGAAGGATCAAGGTCATGTTTTGCTATATCGATAGATTATTTTATTTTTTTAGATGGGTTTAATTGAGGTCTGTTTAAGAAGATCAGGTTCCAGCTGAAAATTGTAGGAAACAATTAAGTGTTGCATATAGCAAGGTCCATTTTATTAATGCCATGTTATCGGACTTTTTAAATTGCAATAAAAAATTAGTTAAAGAGTGAATTGTCATAAATAGTCAAAAAGAACATATCAGCCGATCAGAAGTTGGTAACAATACTATTTTTCTGTATTCGGCCAAGTTTTTCCAATAAAATGTTTTTGAAGTGAGCAATATTGTGGCTGCCAAATTTATTGGTCTCTCTTAAGTTTCAGATACTAGCATCTCTCAAATCGACATTCAAAATCGAGGCATCTAATATGCCTGATGAGCCGTGCCCAATGGCGAAACGTTGGACTTTAATCCCATCTCCTTAGGTCATTAAAAGCTCAACCCGAAAGAGAAATGATGATGAAATATCCATCAACAAAAAACCTTAGACTGAATATGGTAAAATATTCAAAATAAAAAAAAGGATTAAGGTGTAAGCACATAAGAAGCTTGAAATCATGGCTAGGCATATTTTGTGACATTTCATAAAGGGATTACAGAGCCGCACTAAAATCCTGCCGCCGTTTTCCATTAGAATATGACATTAATATGCCTAGTCATGACTACAAGCTTTTTATGTACTTAAACTCTGCCGTTGGAATTGTGAGTGAGATTAACTTAAGTATTGAAGACAAGACAAACGAAAGACAAACAATTCCTTTTTTCAGGGGTCAATTATCATTATTCTGGTTATAGTTATTGTATTAAATATTTGGTATTATCCTATGTATGTATGTATGTTAATCGTTTTAAACGAAACAAGCGTAAATGCGATTGGACAAGGCTAAATCATTGTAATTTTGAAATTAAAACAAAAGACATTTCGAAGAAATCTATACAAAAACAAAATATAAAATCAAATTTCTTTAAATTACATATTTTTCTGTTTTTGTGTTTCAAGCAAACAATGAACTTACAATTTACGAAAACAACAAATTTACAAAGTTATTTTTTCTCACAGCTATAATTATTATTATTATTGTTATTAAAACAAACAAAAAAGTAATGAATATCATCTAAAGTATAATGTTAGTACATTGTTTATAACTATTCCTAGTGTTATTTTACCAATAGCATCAAAATGTGGGTTTTCGTGTGGGGGGGGGGATATACATTAGTGTTATGTTTATGTTTAGAAGCCGATTTGAGGGAAGGGGGAGCGTTTGGGAACATCGACAGCATTTTGTTTGTAGTTTTGTTAAGTAAACTTATGGACATACATAGGTTGTTTGTTGCTTTCAATAGTTATGATGAAATATCCATACTTGCTTCTATTTGGCATCTAAAATAAGAACCCAATTCTTGCGTTTTTTTTCTTCGCATTTTTGTTAAAAAAAGACTTAACCTAATCTCATGTAGTTGAATTTCTAGTAGGTTTCTCTTGTGACGTCACATGTGTTAATAGTATTATTTTGGTTTTTGTTGTTGTTTTTATATTAAGGTTACATACATGTAAAGTTGTGTGTGTTTTTAACAAAACAAAAGTAAAATATAGAAAAGAAAATTGTGTATGTGTATATGTTATAGCTAGTATTAAGGGTTCCCCCGGACAGAGAGAGATAGAGTTCTGCTGCTTGTTAAGCGATGACCGCCGGCTGCTTACATCGAGGAACCCAATTTGAGGAGTCGATCTGAGTGTTTGACCCTTAAATGTGAACGCAGAGTGTCAATGCGGCTGTATGTGGCCGGACAATAGGGACAATTGGAGCGCTGGGCTGTGTGGGAATGGAAATGATGCCAGCGATTTGTCACCTCTTTGCCGCACGAGCGACAGCGCCACATGGTGCCTGGATCACGGGACGGCGTGAACATATTGTGATACGACATCTGATGGTGCATATTGTGTCCTGAACTTCCCATATTTCCTGTAGCCGAGCCAAGGGTATGCAGTTGATTTAGACTTTGATGGTGTGCCTGGTCGTTCTGATGGTGTCCGCCATTGGCGCCTCGCATAATATTCTCCAGAAGATATTCATTTTTGATAGCTGCATCAAATTGTAGGCCATACGTCGCTGCCGGATGTGGTGGAGGGGAGTCGGACAAAGATGAGGCCCTCGAGAATGACGATCTTCGAAAAGAGGTTCTTGACATACGTCCTCGGGGTGCTGTAACCAATGAAAAAAGAGAACACACACCACACAGGGGGGAAAAGTTGGTCAGCCCAGAGAAATAAATATAGTGAAAATAGGTCTTATGTTTAATTTTTTTAACTAGTTAGGTATTTATATTATTATGTGTATAATAGTTGTTGTTGTAACATATTTTTTGTCTGTACTTTTAGTTGTTTCCGCTATACGTGTATAATTGATAAAGATAGTGAAAACAAAATCTAACCAACAAAAAACATAAACTAAAAGATTTCAAATGCCACAAGATCGACAAAAACAACTTGTTATTAAAATAACATTGAAAAAAAATTATCTAAAATAAAATAATATAACTAAATAAAAACTAAGTATTAGCTTATAAAGCAGATTCGAAGCTATTTACGTGTATATTATAAAAATACGCAATAATTCATAGAAAATTATATGTTTGTATGTATAAATAGGTAGGTAGATGGGTAGGTAGGTAGGGAGAGAGAAAAAGAGAGTGTATGTGTGTGAGATAGAAAAAAGGGCACTTAGAATAAGAAAGAGAAAGACAGAAATTGTGTAGTCAAAATATGGAAAATAGAACTTAAAAAAAAAAACAACAAAACTCTGTATCTATATAAAAAATACAATTTTTGGAAAACTTTCAATTAACTCAAGACTTATTTTAAAATAATTTCTGAAATGTAAATAACAACTTTGTTTCCAAAATCCCTCAACCTTATCGGATATAAAGCGATATTCTCAAGCACGTTAAAGCCTATTTTCTACAAACTTTTTTTGTATTATTTTTCACAATGACTCTCAGCCTTTTCACAGTACAATCCAATTTTTCAATAAAAATTATTAAAATTAACTATAAAAAGGTTATCAAACTAGATATGGCATAATTATAGAGGAAAGTCTCGTGTTGCAAAATCCGCAGTAGTTGGCACCGTCATCCACCTTTTCTTCTTTTATTTTTGAAGGTCAGACACATCAAGTTGACACATTTCAAAACACATACGAAACTATTTCAGATATCAATGCATCCTTAGTAATTAAAAAAGAAACTAACAATTGTTTAATTGCAATTTATTTACATTTTTTAATAATTTCAAGGGAAAGAATTCACTTTGTTGTAATAATTGTAAAAAAAAATAAATATCTTACTTTCTTAGATTATAGAAATGCAGAAATGCTAGAAATGGATTTTTAAAGCTCGAATTCAATTATTTTGATGCAACATAGATCTGTCTTGATATATTTTCTTTCGTAAACTCAATTTTGGAAAAACTATATTTTTTCTTTTTGCATAAATAACTTTCTTAAGTGGATGATTTAAATTCGTAAATACAGAATTTTCAAAAAAAACTGATATTTGCACAAGATAAATATTTATAATTATGCCATGCCAAATACACACCGTGGCTATAACAAGTTGCCTTTTTTAAAATTGAGATTTAAAGCCATCGACTTTATAAGTTTTAAGGATAAAACAACAAACTATTGAAACTGCTTTGAGAGAACTAATTATTAAGCGAGTTGAAAGTAGTAAAACATTGTAGAAGTCTGATACTCTGGGTCACATCTGTATCATTCTTCGAAATTTTGCAGATAAACTCAGAAAAAATGAAATAAATAAATTAAGATTTTTACTCATAATGATTTTTGTTAAATTTAACAATTGATATGAGCTTTTGGCCCTGAAAGTGTGGACAAATAGTTCTACAATTTATAAATATTCCAAATTTTGGATTCTTCAAAACTATAATTTAATATTTTTCTCACATTTTAAAATACATTTCAGAAAATCTAAATTGAGAACAAACTGAGACCACCTACAGGGTGAGATGAAAACACCAAAGGTGACCAATTCGACCAAATCTAAACTTATTATAAAATTTGATGCTATTTCCTACATTTTCTACTTTCATTCAATAAAATTTAAAAAAATGTAAAAATTATGGCGTTTGACTTATTGCAGTTTTTTTTTATCTCACCCTGTATAAAGGTTAATCAAACTCTATTACAATCCTTCAGTGTAAATACATGTGCTAGTAGTTGGGACTTAAGGAGTTGAAGCCGAATATTTTCAAAACGTATTTGCATACAATGGAATCACTTTGCAGTACTCATTCATTACTTACATTCCGTCGTGCAACGTATTTATTTATAATAAAATCTGTTTAATTATTTTTTGTTAACAGTTAAGGTGGGAGAGCAATTTGAACGACATGCACGGTATGCCACCACACGTAATTGTGTTATTCGATTTTTAATGAAAATTTAAGAAAGTCATGGCTCGTTTATTTTGGCCTTCCATCTTTACTGTTAATAGGACAAACAATATTTAAGAAAAATCATAGGAAAAATGCCTCCGTTCATATTTTTATGTAAGTTATCTTCTATATAGGTGCCTGTGTGTGTAATACTTAATTCAAAACTTTGCTGATAGATTCGCGAATTAGTTATGCCCGCTCAATGGCATAGCTAATATATAGAGATTGCATGTATTAGTCACAATAAATATATTTGTGTTCTATATATGTATGTATAGGTATGCATGTGTATGTAATGGAGCCGTAAATATGAAACATAAAATTTTTTACAATATGTTCGCACATAGTCGCATGTCGGGTCCGTTTAAGAGTCGAATTCTAATTTTCAAAAAGTTTTCAATTTTGGGTGTAACATATGTGCGAAACTCACTAACATTATACATACAATAAAAATAAATAGGTATATTATAAATTAAATAAATAATGTGTGTGTGTTTGTATATGCTTACCATTTAAACAATTTGTATTGTATGTACTTACTCTAAACAAATAAAATTGAAATAAGATTAAAACAAAATAATTAAGAGAAGTAACAAAGAAAAAACAAATAAAATTACAGGAAATTGGGCCGAGATTAATATTCTTTTTTTGTGTTAAAAATTCAATTGGTATTTCAATATTTTATTTGGGAATTTGTTGAATGGATGACAACGACGATAGTAACCTCATGTTGGAAGCACAATTATCGAGAATCAAAGAGCGACCGCCTAATGCCTGTCGTAATGTTTCAACCAATAAATTGAAGAGAGACAGACAGAGAGAGAGAGAGAGTGAGAGTGAGCAAGAGCGAATAAATAGACCAGAGGAGTAACATCTTTCATTTTTTTGATTTATTTCCAAGAGATAAATTCATTTATTTTACTTTTGCTGTTGTTGTTGATATTTTCATAAATATTTCATCGTGTGTGTGTGTATATATTTGTGTAAAATTGTTTATTTTCATTTCTGAAACTGTTTTTTTATTTTCTTTTCAATTAAAGTATTTTGAGAACATTTTCTGGACGTTACTTAAGTTTTAGTTCTGTCTGGGTTTTGGTTTTTCCTTGAATTCATACCACCAGGTTGGCAGGCACAGCTTTTGTTGCCTTGCTGCTGTATCTGTGAATAACAAATGCTCGCATGTTTTGTTGGTTGCTAGTAATTTAATTTTTTTATTTCTTTACATATTTTGTGATTTTGTTTTCGCTTTTCGTTTTTTTTTTTTTCAGGGTTTAATTTCAAATGTGAAAATAACTTATTGGTAATTCATTAATAGTTTTTCGTATAAATAAAACCTTAACTATGTTTATAAAAAAATAATAATTTCAGTATAGTTTTATGTTATAAAAAAATTATATAAATTAATAACAGTACAAAAAGTTATTTATGCCATTTTTGTTGTTGTTGTTAAAAATGAAATAAAAAAATTAATATTTAGCTTAAAATATTGTTTTTGTTTTCGTATTAATGCATTAATTATAAATGTGTTTACTGTTAATAACAAAACATTGTGTTGCCTTTTGCAATAGATTAGAGAAGAGAGAGGTTTTGGCGTGTGCCTCCTTAAGCTTCCTCTTGTATGTATCTGTAATTTGAGTGTGTGTTTGTGTAGGTTTGTGAAAAAAGTTTTTTATTTTTATTTCATTAAAATCAGGTATTAAAAGTCTTGTTTGGCAAGTATAAATGTAAATGTTTACTAAATTAGAAATAGAAAAACAAAAAAAAATAAAAATAATATTTACACACATTTATCATTATCGAAAAGGAAAATCAACTCAAGTCCCCGTTTTATAAATATGATTATTATTTCATCTGCCACTTAGGGCTTCCAGTTCATTTTGCATTTATGACAATAGATACGTGCATGTAAATTTTGTAATTGTAGTTGTATTCTGTTGTTGTTATCTTAGTAGCTAAATGAAAGATAAAAAAAATTGCACAAATTTTGTGTTATTCATTACAACAGACACGTTGAGAAGTGAAACAAATAGTTCAACAGTTTAGTAATTAATAAAAATGAAGAGGCAATCAATTTCTTCGATTTCTTTTTTTTGTACAAATAACAATAAAAAATACAATTAAATAATAGTAAAATAATTTATCTGTTTGTTTGTTTTTTTTTCTTTCTCTTGAAGGTTTGTTTCTGTTCCTATAGGCTGATATTATTTCAAAAAGAAAACTAGTTTTTTTATTGCACTACGTTTTGTTTCCACAACATTTGTTCACTTGCCTGTCTGACATTGTTGTACATCCAGCTGGACACTGGCTGTTCATGTGTAGCTAATTACATATTCTTCTGCTTCTTTGTCATCTCTTTTATACTATTTCCATCGTCTTAGTCAGTGTATTCTTGTTCTGGTTATTTGGATTTAGCACCTTGATTTCATTGTTTCTAACAATTTTTTTTTGTCACTACATTTTTTGTTTACCATAATTATCACATTCGTCTTCTTCTTCTTCTTCTTTTTCTTCAAATTGAATAGGAAAACACGAAATAAAGTCTGTTGTTTATTTCGAGTTTTCATTCATTGTTGTGCACAAATAATTATTAGTTTTGTTTTTAGTTTAATATATATGTATATGTGTGTATATAGAACTACTAAAACGGTAGCTTAAAAGTCTAACAATCAATTATTTATTTTTTTGTTTAGTTTTGTTTTCTTTTGTATGTTTGTAAACTAAAAAGACATCTATAACGTATATTGATTAGTAATAAAATATATAATATGTATACATATATATTTTTAGTTTTTTTGTGGAAATATGTATTACACCTCACTACTTAGGATTAAGTTCTGGCATAGATTGTATGCAAGTGAAGGAGGCGGATTTTTGTAGGTAATCATAAAATGGCAATCTAGTTTGTCGCAATTTGGCAATGTCGGACGGAAGACAATCCAAAGTTGAAGGGAGGGGTGATGGTGTCATAGACTTTTCTCTGAACAAACCGTCGATGCGAAAAAACCGCGATTTTATCTACTACACTGGGCTGCGGGGGGTGGGAGAGATTCAAGAATTTGGCAATAAAACAACGAATTGTGCATAATTGCAAACATTTCCAACAAAAAAGGTCAAAATATATTTTCAAATGGTACAAAAGAAAAACATACTAATTATTCTTGTACAGAGTGAGATGGAAAACTGCAACCACAAGTGGCAATCGTTTAGAGCACTCCAGCATTTAAATGTAAATATATCTTTTGTGTCTTATACCATCGCTCGTGTCCGTGATACTGGTAGCACTAGGAAGTGGACGGAAGAAAACAGCAACATCAGCAGAAATGGTTCGAAAAGTAAAGAAGCAAGCGCTTCACAGTGGCCGAAAATTGGCTCGTGGGCTGATCATATCGCAATATTCCATTCGGCAACATTGAAAAATGAGTTCGGGGTAAAGCCATTGAAATTCCAAAATGTGCAAGAACTTACACCGCAACAGAAAGAAAATAGACACAAAAGAGCTAAAGAGTTGCTTCGCTGGTCGAAAGTGGTGAACTGCCGAATTTGGTTTTCCTCCGATGATACACATTCGTTGTCCAGCAGTTTTTAACAAACAAAATGATCGTGTTTACCTGCTAAAGAGGTCAGCGAAAATATGCAGAGCTCAAGCGCCAGCCATGGTGATGATGTGTGCCGCCTAAACAGCCGATGGTCGCTCTCCGCTCGTATAATCGACCATGGCATCAGAATAAATGTCGATATTATCACGAGAAATATTATGGAGGGTGTATTAAAGCCTGGGCATTAAAACATTTTGGCCGAAGACCTTTTACATTCAACAGGACTCAGCACCATCGCACTCAGCACGCGCCACCCAAGAATGCTTACAAATGAGGTTCATCGCTTCATTTCCAGCGCACAACGGCCACCAAAATCTCCGGATACCAAACCGTTGGACTATTATGTCCTGGAGTATTTGGAAAAGCAAGGTTGGCACTAAGTGTCAATCACCTCAAGCAAGCGCTTCTCCCGAGAATGGGTCAAAATACCGTAGAGCATCATTCGGGCCGCGTTGTGGCGGTTTCATTAGCCATTTGAAGTCCATAATTCGTGCCAAAGAGGACTAATTTCGAAAAAATCTAAACTTGTTTTAAAATTTGATGTTATTTCCCACATTTTTTGCTTTCATTCATGAAATTAAAAAAAAAATGTAAAGTTTATGGCGTTTGCCTTTGTTGCCGTTTTTTTATCTCACCCTGTATAAGAAGACTCAAGTTGGAATTTTAAAATATGACTGAGGCTAAGTTGTTTTAAAAGTTGTCTAATAAGAGTTGTGTTT